TAAATAAACAAACATTTAATTTACGGTAAAAATGTTCAGCTTAAACTTTTGAGTTGCCAACCAATACACATCGGCTCGGTCTAATCAGTTTGTGTAACAAAACATCAATAAAAGACGTTAAAGTTTTACATCGTAAACCAAAGTATATATCTGCCCCGACTTATTTATATATATTTTTATGGGTGCCGCTATTAGGTCTTCTGAATAATGACTTCAGAGTACGCTCTCTTGTTCCCATAAATCAGGGAATTCCTAATTCGGGTTTTCCGTCTGTTGTTTTTTTGGAAGTTTTATTTCAGAACTAACTGCCCATGAACTTTGTGCCGCCTTAATTAATAAAATATAGCCTTATTTAAGTGGCTGATAATATAGATTTTTAATGATGAAATATGTTAAAGAAAATCTATTAATATAATTTATTTGAATTATAAAAAAATCAATGCTCTTTATAATTTGACGTAAAATATAAATATTAAATTTTCTGTTTATTTAGAAATCCTCAATAATTATTTACACATTTATGTGTTTGATCAATTTTCTATTCACAGTTCCATATATACTTCAAATCATAGAAAAGTACTAAGAAAATCTCGTCTCGACTATAAGTAAAATGGTGTCAATATGCATATGAGAAAATTTTATTTTTTTGCATTTACAATGTTCAGAGCTCGATGGCTTAGTGGTTAATACTCTCGATCTACGGTAAGATTGTTAAGCAACTTTAGCATTGGCCAGTTCATAGGATGGGTTACCAAAAATTTATTATCTGGACCTCCTTCGAGCTTCGGAAGGCAAAGTGCCGTTGACCGTTAATAGCAACACTGGGCCCTCGTGATGTGTTTATGGCCCATTCTTCCTATCGACTACATTCGATTCTATCCATAACAAAGACATATAACACTTACAACGATCCTTTATTTACACATGGCTTTGTTCACGTCATTCCAATGTGACTCCCAGTTCGAGTAAAAAAGGCAAAACACAAAGTGTAACCATACAACGCTTATATATTACTAATTAGTAAAGCCATAAGTATTTTACATGCATAATGAACAATGATTGAAAAAAACACACCTCTAACAGAATTGACTTGATGTTTCATTTAAAAGTTGCTTTCAAAAATGAACGTCGTATGCGACGACGTGCAAAACGCTAACACCTTAGAGCATTAACCAAATAAAACTTATTTCAAAGAGTAATAAAGGTTTTATTGGATTATACTCTTTGGTGCGACAACGCTATGCTTGTTACACGACTGCGAAAAAAGGTGCGTATGTACTTATGTGAGTTTTTTTACTCCACCATGACTTTGAATGATTCAACGAATATGAATAAATAAGGTTTCGTTAGAAACGCAACAACATCCCGATTAACATTGGCTCTATGTTTTAAAAAAATATATTCAATATGGTGAATGTATGAAGCTATGCGATGAGTCCATTCCAAAAATATTTCACTTATACACATAATTAACTGCTCACAAAAGGATTAATAAATATAATTATATACATATAATAATTATAATAATTAAAAAAATATATAGAATATATATCTAGCACTTAATGGTTACTTGATTTAATTAACACAATAACATTGAAATTATTCCAAATCAGTGATTCTAATCGTGGTATATCGCGTAAATTTACACAGTGCTCTTAGTTGGACAGAGTTAATTAAATTTCTCTCCTGTTATGTAAATAAAGCACTGACAATAAAGAACTTGGTCAGTGTTACTCTTAATTAAATTGTTGATTAATTCTTAACGTTATTTTCTGTTATAGTTATGACTAAAAGAAAATAAATCATGAGACTCTTGATTAGTTGATGTGTGCTTAAAACAAACCTTTTATAAGAAAATATTATAAAACAGTAGCTCAGTGGCATAGTAGATTGTTGTTAAGCAACTTTCGGAAGGGTCGGCCACGGAATGGGTGACCAAACAATTATTATCACGAGCTACTCCATGCTTCGGTCCCGGCTGCATTTGCAGTCGTTCATACCCTCTAATCCGCATAGGGCTAGCGTGGAGGGTCACGACTCGTCCTCCATAACCATCCTCAAGGAAGGCTTGTACTTGTTGTTGCTGCCCGCCAATTTATCACTTAATTGTCACGATTGACTTATTATTTAATAGTGGTGTACAATAAAGTATTCATTCAACAATATTCAATGATTTCTATTATATTTATATTATGATAAAATATTAAAAATATTTCATAAAAGGTTAGAAGAAGTCGTAATATTGACTACCCTATTGAAGTGTCTAATATATGAATCACCTTTAAGCTAACAAGGTATTATCATTTACTTTCTCATTTATATATATAACTTTACGTTTTAAACCTATTGTTTTACATTCGCGGAGGGCGCATCACGCCGAATATAACATCTCCGTTAAAGAAGTGCCGATTCAATCCCCAACAGAGCGATTTACAAAATGAACTTTTTCATAAAGTGGATTGGATTTACCTGGGGGTATAGGAAACCACTTTCAGATCAGCATGTGAAAGCATATTTAAATGAACAGTAATAACATTTTGTAAACAATAATAAGACTACAATGTTTATAAAATTTCCCATTGAATCCAAATTTCAAAAGGTTTACTTCAAAAACACAGCATATATAAGGTGTAAACATATTATACATATAATCATACAAAACTGTAATACCTACAATCGTTTAACATCTGAATTTAGAGGCGCTCAATAGGCAGTGCTCCAGATCTACAATGCGGAAGTTAAGCAACTTTTACAAAGGCCAGCCACAGGATGGGTGACCAAAAATTTTGTAACTCGGAAGGCTCGTCGAATCATTGGTCGAATCTATCTGTAGTCGTTAATATCCACCAACCAGTACTGAATCAGCACTTGGGTAACGGCCCCTTTTCCAATTAGATTTGGACTGAGAGAAGACCAGTGGCCCCGCGGTGCACAAATTAATAGATTGATGATGATGAACTTTTAGATTACTTGTAATTTATAATAATAATCAGTTAATTTATCACACAATCATTGATTTATAGGCAAACATTTTATGATTCGTTATTTTGTGCGATCTGGAGCCTAAGCTAGGGCAACCCTGTAATTCAGGACTCCAGGTCCCACCCGCTAATCAACGAGCGCTCATGTTACTGCACGTCAATACTAACACGGTTTAAATAAAGTAAAGCGTGCATTAGATTTTGATGTGTGTGTGTGTATGTGTATGCATTACTATAGAAATACATGTATCAGAAGAAAAATGAAAGTGCAACTATCGAGGAGATATTAACAATGATTGTGAGTAACCACTGTAGAGTAGACTTGCAATTGTAACGAGTTTTATTATAGATATTTAATACTCTATTTATTTTCTTGTATAAATAAGGTGCAAGGAAATATAAATGTCTTCTAACAAAAGAAGTGCGATGAGGGCTAAATTTCGTAGAACCAAACAATTCTATTTATAAAAAGTAATTATTAGGTTCTACGTTTTATTGATAAACTCTGAAACTGCTGGGTCGATTTTGTAAGTTCTCCAATATAGAGCTAGTAACTAAAGACTGCGAATTCAGCTAGTTTTCTTTAATATAAATTTCAAAAATCATCGCAACACTTATCAAAACTTTGACTTAAACTCGTAAAAGGAAGCACAACCTACATATATTTGTAATGGGCACTATAAGGTGCCGCTTTTACGTGTCTAGTTCTCTTATTTCGAAATAAATTAATCCTTCGGGGAACATTAACTACGTCACAGGAAGCTCAGAAGTCATTTAATCTGCTGAACCATTTGTCGTTAACCTACTCTCTTAATAACAAGATAAAAACAAAAATCGGTACCTACTCATCTTCTTACTAATATTTACCCGAAAATTCGTTTACGAACATTCTTTGTATTAGTGATAGTTTTAGAAAAAAAAGTAACTTTATGTTACTAAGGTATCTGCGGTATTTGTAACCCACGTTGTGATAAGGCCCTTGTTTAGAACTTGGTGCTTAAATACACCTATCCCTATTCAAACGTCCACATACATTACACAGTAGTTCCTGAGATAAGAGCGTTCAAACAACCGAACTCTTCAGCTTTATAATATTATATATTAGTATTGAAATATAGATTCAAGCTCTTACCCACAATACAACAATGGATTTTCCGTTGGAATAAAATATTATTACGTAAATCATAGTAAAAGCCTACGTCACACACCGATCTCATCTCCACACAAAAAACTATACCATGACAATGTTTGTTAGGACGTGAAAAAAAGGCAATTATCAAACTTATAAAATGAGTTGTAGATAATACTCTTATCTAAAACTAATTAACATTATAATTATTTGATCGAATCAACAGAATAATATAAATATTGTATATGCATTGACGTAAGAACATGAATGAACATGAACGTAACAAAAAAATATTATTTAAGAAAATAAGCATAGATATAGGTAGATAGAATATATACTAAAGTCAGAAATTAAGTAGGTAATAGGAGAACTAAAACATTTTTATTGCACTGCAGCAAGCTCGTTTCTTCAGTAGGTAACAATAGGTTTCAAGTACTAAATCTTAAGTAAAGTACTTCATAAACGATTTATGGAAACATGAAACTACTTATAATACCGGTATAACTTTCAATAATGTATGAATGCCAGACAATGTCTGCTAAGAAAAATGGAATAGTTTTTATATTACTTGTATTCACACGTCGCGTTTAAAATATAATCACTTTAAATTCACATCTCGAAAGAATAAACAAATACCAATCATGCATTAAGTGTTCTATTAATCAAAAAGTAAAATTTATTATAATCTACAGCATAATTGTAATACACTTAAAACGTCAAAAGAATAAATGATGACATTATTAATGAAAAAGACATCTCATTAATTAAGGACTAATCTCACAATATATTATAAGCTCTCACGACGCCGAACGTTATTAACTTAACACCATTAGCCGGGAAGAGTCGACGTAACCGCTAGTAATTATGTTTGCAATAAATCGTACATAGACCCATATTATCTGAGTTGGAGCAGGAAGGGTCCGGAAGAACCAGGAAGGCGAAAACGAGCACGATTACACCACACATGTCCGAAAAGTCCGAGTGCCAACGAAAAAGTCTTTATTTGAATTATTAGCCACTCTTTGAAAAGTACGCCAAAAAGTTTTCCAAATTCAAAATACGAACTGCGAGCCGACGAGTTCCGATACCGCACGTCTCATTCGAAAACAAACCACGGCCAAAAGTTCCGGGTCGAATTCGCGTTCGGAAACGCACGCGTCAGACAAAAGTTTTCGCGGCGAGCATGTGACATTTGTCACGTGACAATAACATTCAGTGCGGTAATGTTGGCAACAAGGGCGTGTGGCCACAATGACTCCGGACGTGCGACTGACGCGACCAAACGGTACAAACGCCATACGACTATTGGTCACGACTCAGGGCGAGCCCATCAATTTCGCTTGACGTTTCAATGAAAACCCCCTTCTTTTTTCCCCGGAGAGAAATTCCATAGTGCTATAATTAAAAATATTTATCAAGTTGTGTTAGGACCTACGAGTGCACTCGAGTAACGGGTCAGGTCAGGCTTAATCCCAGAAATTTCACAGCCCCAAATTAAAAAACACGTAATAAGTCAGAGTATTACAGAAATTTTTAATTGACTTATTAATTAAAATGAATGGTCTATTCGCGTTAATTTTGTTCACATCAAAAAAATATTATTTTTGAGTTATTTATTTGTAAAACTTTAATATTTATCAGTGTAGTCAATCGTATTTCAATAGGAATGTTATATATATTATCTTTCTCCTTAATAAATAATGATCTCGAGAAGGCTTTATCGTGAGCAAATCTATATTCGATTCTGTCAGTATCATTCATTTATTACCCTTGTTATTATGCAAACGTTCTAGCCGAGTTATATCCGAATTGTATTTTTATGACATTTCCTTTTTGTTACATTGTATAGTAGCACATTTAAGCTACAATAGTTAGAAGCACTGGCTCAACTTTGCTAACTTAAAACTTTATGAATGAAGTGGTAAGTACGTAGTCACGTTCGCGAAAGTTAACTACAGTTTTATTATTAACGGTTACTTAATTACAACACTGTGAGAATATTCTTGAAGATGGCGTGTTAAATATTAAACATTCCAATTTTAACATAAGCAGATTTTCATGTCTATATACTAATAATAAAAAGAGAAAAGATTTCATTGTTTGCATAATAGGCACCGAAACTAAAAGATCGACTTTCAAAATTATTTCTATTATACGCGGATGACATAGGTTATTATTTACTCAGGCGAAGTCACAGGAAAACAGCTAGTTCATAATGAAATGCTTCTCAATTGGTGCAGTAGTATCAAACCATTTTAATTGTTATAGGTGAACGGTTTGTTTTTAAGTAGGTATGGGCAACCTTTGACATGCTGTGGGCCAAACTTTTGTGTGCAAATACGTTTGCGGGCTACGTTTACAACTACATTCTAAAGTAGTGTTGTAGTGCTCATATTTTTTGCGATAGATATCAGATATGAAATAATACGACAATGTTATTTAGACAAATTAGGTTTTTCAAAACATCGCGAGACGTTTCGAAACGTAGCCGGATCCGGCCCGCTGGCCGCCTGTTGCCCACCGTGGATTTAAAGTGTATGCAAAAAAAAATACATAAACTATCTACTGTACATAGTATAAACATAGACAAAGATTCTTATCCTCTATGGAATCAGCAAGACAAAAGTACTTTTTATCTAAACGACGACATAATGAATGTAATAATAATAATAAAAATTCATTACATACTAATATTTATTGTGTCATGATATTAAGAGTATCCATACTTTATTTTGTTTACAGTCAGTTGCACATACGTCAATTATGGCTTAACGACGCTTTTAAGCTCTAATTAATATCAGATTAGAATGGGTAAACCTTAAATTAATGATAATTTTAATGGACGTTTATGCAACTGGCTGTTAGACGACAGGGCAGTATTTGAGCCATTGCTTTTTGGAAATTTGGCACTTCAAAGCTATGCACACTAACAAACAGACAAGTTCATTACGTTACCTTGAATATTAAAAAATTTAATAATCATAATTTCGTTAATTTCTTTTTATTTATTTAATTATTTTAATGTTTTAAAATTTTTTATTATGGCAAAACTAATACCGTTGACTGTGATTTGTCAGTTCGATTTCTCATTACTCTTGAAATGACCAAAACTGGCCATCTGTTCTAGATGTTTTAAGTCAAACAATTCAAGTACCTTATTTCACAAAAAAAAAAAAACTTTATTAAATTTAATTTGGTACGTGACTGTCACACCAGTTTAACCGTGTCCAGTGGAGTCTGATAAGGGTCCGAAGAAATACGACTTTTTATGCGCAGATACATTAAATAAGTTGTTTGTGGAGTGTGTTTGCTGAAGCATAAATAAATATATATAAGATGATTTGAAATACATTATTCCGAACCCAAACTCGATAAAACATACAATAAATAAATGTAAAGAAGCAATATAGAATTAATTCGATAATTAAAATGAAAAATAATTTTGGTTATTACAAAGATTACTATGAAATAGAAATAGAAATGTTCCCGAATTTTCTCTTTTAGTAAAATTGTTACCAAAAATATTATTGTTACATTGTATGTAACCAGAATTTTAGAACGTAATACTTCTTTGTTTTTCTGAAAACGAAATTTCGTCTCCAAAGATCGAATTTTTCAATAATTAATGATACAACGGAGGTAGGACCTGATACTGCCTTTGACGCATATATAATATTCATGAACATGAATTTAACAAAATCACAAGAACGGTCCAAAATTTTCGGAAATTTTGATCGTGGCCTAATTTGCGAATTTGGAAATTCCGTCCAGTTGTATACAATATTAAAATTCCTACAAAAAACCTAATAAATGCACTTAACATCAATCAAAGACAATAATTTCGTGAATACAGAATATATAATCGTACATTCGCTATTATGAAACATGAACTAAACCGAAGATTTTTTGTGCGAAACTTTTTTACGTTTCTATAGATTTCTCCCACGCTTAGTGACTACGCAGCCCCTTCTCTTTCATGTCACAGACAACGCCAATTGTTTCGGCATCCGTTAAAATATTTGCCAAAGCCCTTTTGGCAATTCCGAGACAGGCACACTCACAGGATATTGGAATCATAGTAGCGTGTGCTCGTGCAAAAGTACAATCATTCACGAATCTGGAAAAAAAAATGTCAACATGCCAATATCACCCTTAAAAACTAGCTTTCAAAGTTGTTTATGCGTTTCCAGGAAACAGTAGTCTTATTTTCACAGTTTAATTCACAGCCGCTGAGGCATAATGGCGAAATGAAAAGATAAAATCGTTGGTGCTTCCTTTGAATCCGCAAAAACTTATCTCGGGCATTTTAATCAATATATTTATTAATGTAATGTATTGATTATATTACATTAGTGATTAATTATATCAGCACTTTATTATATCAAATTAGAGATGGGTCGAGTATTTATTTCAACATCATCATCACCAGCCCTTTTACGTCCCCACTGCAGGGGCTCAGGCCTTCCTTATGGATGGTTAAGGAGGATGGGCCATGATCCTCCACGCTGGCCCAACGCTTAACGGCCTTCCGAAGCACGGAGTAGCTCGAGATAATAATTTTTCGGTCACCCATCCCGTGACCGATCCTAGCGAAAGTTGCTTAACGACTACGATCGCGGGCCGCGGCGCTTATCCACTACGCCACCGAGCTACTCGATAGTAACGACCTTCGCATATTCGACCAAATAAATGTAATATAATATTTATGAAAGAAAATAAATTATTTTTGTCTTCTTTGATAAAAAAAATTGAAGAAGTTTCTTTAATCTAAACAGTTTATAATTGTACTCCTTGTACGACTTTGAGTGAGTGATTCAAGAAACTCGGTTGGGCGAAAACATTACTATGTAAAAATTAATATTCAACTATTCGATATAAGTCCTACTCGGTACATCTCTAATATCAATTCCTTTATCATTAATCAACTAATATATTAACATCAGCTTTCTCTGATGTCACTTTCGCTTAAATATAACTTATTGATGGAAACCGAAACAAAACAACCAGTCATATACTATTTTTCCTTACTATTGAATGATGTACTTTATGTGATACATTCATCTTTACTTTAACTTTATTGAGATTGTTTATATTTTCGGTAATATAGTAACAGTGAAAAAAAAATTTGACACGATCCGTTGCTCAGATTTCAAGATGAGTAGCTAAAACCTTCATTATAGAGTTTCTGAACCAACGAAGCTATCACAACACCCAGACCCGAGACAATATAGAAACATTGAGCTGACCGGTTATAAGACACTGGACCTCAGAGAGAACCCTTGAAACCAGCGTCGCACGCTGGCTCACTCGGTGAAATTTTCGATGAGCTGCGATAATGTCTCGACAGAATTAATAATCGTTAAATAGCTAGCTCAGAGTTCACTGACTTGCTGTCAAACTCGATCGCTAGGAAACTAACAAATATCACTAATTTGACAGCTGCACTCAGTACGTGCCTGGCAAATTACAATATACTTAACTGTAGATAGACGTAACTTGCAATAATCGATAACTTACGATCACTATAAGTTAGCGATCAAATTCGGTAAGATTGCGATCATAAACTCTGTCGAGACTGCAACCCCTGATCATCCATCGATTAGTTAACAACACTGTCCTATACCACTCAGAAGCTTGTCAAGAATTTTTTTAACCACAATCTCCACAATCTAGAATGTTCAGGAATCTGAAACTTTCCATTAAACTCAAAAATTATAATATAAAATATAAAATAAATAATTACTTTTAGTAGAATGGCCGCTGTTCGGTTTCATTGCCACTTAATTTTAATGCTACCAAGAAATTTTTAAGATGAAAAGGTAAGTTATTACCATAAAGTAATAATAAAGTTGTAAGATATCCCTATAAGTACTTAACGTAAATTTTTAATTAAGCAATCGCCTGGATTATTAATATAAAATTATTGAATTCCTAGGGGTGTACTCAATTTGACAAGCCTGATTTACGTTTTTTAAACGCGCCTTCAACGTGCGTTTGCAGCGGTACAGACCTTTTTCTAATTTATGACCTATTTACAAGATACAAGTACTGTTCTAAGATTATATTTTTTACTTTTTAATCTTTACCTTAGGTGTTGCAAAAAGAGTGACCATGCCGAGCCATCTTTAAACCTTCCCGACATTGTTCATATACATAATGACGTATACAAAAAGCCTACCAGGTTTGAGCGCAAATAGAAAAATGTACTTTGCCAATAATCATTTTAATCCATTCGCTACAAAAACTGTTAATTTAAAAGTTGGAGTTGCACTCACATAGTTCGGTACAAATTTAAT